AGCTTGGTAAAAGAAGTCTACCCAGAAGCTAGAAAGAAGGGCACACACTTCAATTTTGCAATTGTTTTTACAGATCTTAAAAGACCTGGCTATCGGTAGGTAATATTTAATTCATAGGTGGTCCATAGGTTACCAAGAAAAGCCCTTCCTCCCTGTGTCTTTCAGTTAAATTTGTAGGTGGATGAGTCCCATCAGGTGTTCACAGTTCATCTTTAGCCTTACTTGCACAAAAAAAAAGGCATGGATCCTTTTCAGTGACTTAAAAGTAGTTGTGACATAGAAATTCCATTTGACCCAGCTATTCCACTCCTAGGAATAATGAGAACTGGGGCACACATGGAAACGTGTACACCTGTGTTCACAGCAGCATTATTCATCACAGCAAGAACATGGAAACAGCCTAGATGCCCAACCACAATGAAATGGATTGAGAAATTGTGGTACATTCACACAATGAAATACTATGCAGCACCAGGAGCAGTGATTTTGTAAACTCCTACCTAACATGGGAGAGACTGGAGAGCGTTATGCTAAGTAAACGAACTCAGTCCCATAAAGGCAAATACAGATAGTGGTATAGGACCATTATTGTAGAGCATATACAAGGATGGGGGCAGTGCTTAAATATAGGATTGCACAATTTGATGGGTAGAGGGAGGGAATGGTAAAGGAAAGGAGAAAGGTCCAGTGTGAAAAACATTGTATAAGAGCTTTATGAATTTTGTATGTAAACTATTATTTTTTAAAAAAAGTGATTGTGACAAAAAACTTGTTGCCATTTTAAGCAGGAGTTTATTTTGAAGTAAGGACAAATTTACATAACATTAAAGGGCAAGTTGGGAGTTTCCATAGGTTCGTATTTGTAACCTGGGAGCTGCCTTTAATGCCTTTTGCCTTTTCTTTTTGTTTTGGGTTATCCTTTTTATTTTATTTTTATTGTAAAAATAGAAGGATAACTAGTAAAACATGGAGATTCAAGGTGGTAAGAGGTGGGAGCAGAAGGCTGAGAATGGGTGGGGATGAAATCACAGAATTGCACAATTTGGTGAGTAGAGGGAGTGGATAATGGGAATGAGAAAGATCTGGAAGGGGACTGGAAAATACAGGGCAATGGTGGGCATAGTCCAGTAGTGATCCAGTTTTGTTTTTTTAAATAAAGAGATTGTCTTTTTTTATTTGTGGGTTTCCCCTTTGGGAATAGGGGGACAGACTGGCTGCTTCATACTGAACTGGGGTGTTGAGGTGAAGGGGAGCCCACTTTTAACACTTTACTGGTGGTCTTGAGTTGACGCTGTATGCCTTCTTGTTCAGTTAGAAGATATTTTCCCGACGTTTTCTGCTCTCTGGACTTAAAAGGTGTTTGTGTGGGTGAGTCCAGTGGGAATGCCTGGCTGAACTTGGAGGCTCCCTCCACCTTCACTTCCTTAGCTGGCAGCTATAGTTCCCTTTGGTCTCTGGAACAGAGTTCAGGTTCTGGAATAAGACTCTGTTTAGGTTACCTATAGAAAAGGGAACAAACCCAGAGAGAATAAACTTGTGAGTTACAAAGAACAGGCTTTGGAGGTGTTACTTACAGATGTAGTGGAGGAGGAAATGTAGGAAAATGACTTAGATAAAGTTCCTGTACACACCAGGTGTCTCACTAGGTGTCTCCCCAGGTACCGGGCAGCTCCCGCCTGGGCCTTGTGACTCTCCCAGGGACTATGTAGCTCTCCCCAGGGTCATACCTTTTTAATGATTCTCTACATTAATCTTAATACAGGCATATCTCATTTTATTGGTTTTGCATTTTAGAATATTTGGGCTTATTTTTAAACATAAAAGTTTGTGGCAACTTTTTGTATCTTACAAGGTTTTATAATTCTCATAGCATTTCAGATTTCTCATTAAGCTGTTACATACTTAATGAATCCCAGTTGATGTAAACATAACTCTGACAAGAATCAGGAAACCAAAAATTCCTGTGACTCCCTTTAACTCCCTTTATGGCAGTGTGTGATTTACAGTGGTGGTCTGGAACCAAACGCACACTGCCTCAGAGGTGTACCCATATCTGGTTAGTATAATATGTTGTTAATGCCATTAAGTTAGTTCTAGCAGAACAGAATGCTGTCAGTCCTGTGCTAGCCGTGCCATTGCTGCAACCACTATCATTTCAACTTGTCAGAGGGCTTTTCTCTCTTTCTCTGACCTGTGTTGAGCTCTGAGTTAAGTTGTTGAGTTTCTATTTTATGAAGCATGGTCTCCTTGTCCAAGGGCTAGTTCTTATTAATAAGTCCAAAGTATAAGGGAGCTCTGGTGGCCTACTGGCAAGAAGCTGCACTGCAAATCCCAGAGGTGTGTGGTTCAAATGCTCTACTGGAGAAGGAGGCACTGGAGAAAGAGTCTCCTCCTATACGAGTCAGATCCGATTTGATGGTACACATACAACAAAAAAAATAAAAGTCCAAAGTACATGAGACAAAGTCTCACCATCTTCTATATCTTCAATCCATATCATAATCAATATTTTTCTTTAACACCATGATTCAAAAACTTCAGTTGTTCTTTATTCATTTCCCAGCTTTTGCATGCATATGAGTAATTTAAGATACCATGGTTTGAGTCAGGCATTCTTTAGTCCTCAGGTGGTATCTTTTTACTTTAAAAAGGTTTGTAGCAGATTTGCTCAATTATAATGCTTAGATTTTTTAACTGTGATAGAAGATCATGGAGCAGTTCCATTCACTTTGTAAGTCATTTTCTGATTTCTGATCCATTAACCATTCATTCCCTTTCTTACAGAGTCAAGGAGATTGGCAGCACCATGTCTGGCAGAAAGGGCACTGATGATTCAATGACCCTGCAGTCACAGAAATTCCAGATAGGAGATTATCTTGACATAGCAATCACCCCTCCAAACCGAGCACCACCTCCTTCTGGGCGCATGAGACCATACTGAGTTCTATTTACTGTTTCTTGAATGTATTTTCCAGTCAGTTATGTAAAATAAACTTAACTCTTTCTTCCTTTGATTTCTGCCATTAAGCCTTTAAACTACACAAATTGTAATGCATCTACTTAGATTTCGCTGTGTCATGGTATAAATATTCAAAGTCCATATTGTTTCAAGCTCTTCTGTAAAATATGAAGAAAAGTGCTCTTAGTTTTCTGTGTAAAACTGCATTGTTAAATATATGTCTGTGCAATCAACTGAGTCAAAGTTAATGGGGGGAATATTATTTACTTTTAAATAAAATATTTAGGGTTTGTGCTAAGTGATGAGGTGTGTTTAATCCTGAATGGAACAGAGTAAGAAAGCCGTGAGATTGTGTTAAATTGAGTACTCCATGGTTTGTATTGCAGACTCTGGGATGTAATTAGACTGATGTGAATGAAGCACTTAGGGCACTTTAAAAAAAATAATCCATTTTTATCTTAAGAATTTGTAAAATGGAGGTAATAGCCTGTACTGTTGGGAAGCGTAATGTGGGACGTGCTGAAACTGAGGACCATCCAAGGCTTTTGCTGGAGAAAGTCAAGGACTGCAGTCTTCAATATGGATTGAAGCTCAACATTGAGAACACAAAGATTCTCACCACTGGGCCAGTGGCAGCAACATGATAAATGGAGAAGAGACTGAGGTTGTTAGTTACAGCTTGCTCGCCTCCTTAATCAACTCTCTTGGCACCAGTTGTCAGGAAATCCAAAGACTAATTACACTGGGAAAATCTGCTGTCAGAGATCTCTCCAGAGTACAGAAAAGCAATGATGTCGGTCAAGAGACTAAAGTGTGCCTAATCCAGGCCATGGTCATCACAATTACTAGATGTGCATCAGAGAGCTAGACAATGACAAGGAATGAGAGAAGAATCAATGTTTTGAGTTTTGGTACTGGCAGAGTCTTGAACAGTGATTCCATGGACTGCCAGGAAAACAACAAACAGGCCTATTAGGTTGAAACCAAGTTTCTTTTTGGAGGGAGGCTAGCATTTTGAAGCTCCACCTCACATACTTTGGGCACATGACCAGGAGGGACCAGTACTTGGAGAAGGACATCCTGCTTGGAAGGGAAGACCCCAGATGAGATGGATTGATAACAGGAACTTGGGCAATGGGAATAGACATGTCAAGAGTCAGTGAGACTGGCTCTGGACAGGGCAAGCTTCAGAACTGTTCTACATAGGGTCGCTATGAGTCCTGCACATAACAATGTATAGGAAACTATATAAATAGGGCACCAGATGCTCGTAGGGAAGATGAGCATGCAGTTTGTTGTTAGGTGCAGGTAAGTAGAGCACAGAGACCCCTATAATCAATAGATGTGAACCCTGTTCTATCCTGTGCCATCATCTACTCCCACATCATCTCTCTGATGTAGTCACTGTCAGTCCATCTGGTTGAGAGTGTTCTCTGATGTCTTTCCAAGGAGGAGCCCGTCTTCAACATGCTCAAAATAAATGATGCTTCACCCTTTAGTGAGCCCTCTTTTTTTAACACCTTATTTAAGATGCCTATTTGTACTTTTGGCAGTTAATGGGGTATTACGTTTTTGTACAACACAACTCAAAGGTGTAGATTCTGTCATCTTTAGTCCTTAACTCTCAGATGCATAGCACCTGAGACTACGAATCAGACATGCCTGAGCCTTTAAAACTGATTTTGCTCCTGTGCTTTGGAGAGGTCCCTGACTCCAGGTTTTTCTAGTGATAAATCTGATCTTGTGGTTGCTGGTACTAAGGGTTGTGGTGGTGTGCCCCGAAGCCAGTTCCCCCCAAGTCACCAAGGAGCCGACACCGATGCAAGGGCAAGAGGGAATTTATTTCAGATTCGAATCCAGGTCACGCTCCAAACCATGCCAATAGAGCAGGGAAAATGGCCCGACGTGATTCTGGGCTGTTCTGCCTATTTAAAGGGGAAAGCCCACGAAAACAGGACAATACAGGATTGGCTGATTCAAAGGAAGGGCACGAAAACAGGGCAATACAGGAGTGATGTTCGGGTGGGGGCTCTTTTCCTCCTTCCCCCACCACTTTCAAAAAAAAAAAAGCTCTAGAGGCTTACACATTTTAAAATGACATATTGGTTACAAAATGGAGTCCCTCATTCCCCCCTTCTGCACTCTAGCTCAATCATGAGCACTTTCTTCTTTGGTCTCTAGGTAATGGTATTGACACTGCATAACCATCAACTGGATTGTTCCTATCCTTACATTAATTGAGTTCTGTTAATTGTACAGGGACCTAGGGTTAGGATAAGCATCAGGGCAGTGAGGGGGTCCAAGGAGTGGAATAAGCCATTTACCCCAGGATGTTTTCCACCAGTTAAATAAATCATAGACTTCTGTCTCAGACAGGCACTTTTTAACAGATTCCTTTAACTCTTGGACCTTATTTTGGACTATGCCTAATGCATTCACAAAGAAACAGTATTCTTCCCCTAGAAACTGGCACATACCTCCTTTCTCTGCTGTAAGCAATTCTAGAGCTCGACAGTTTTGTAAGGTCACCCCGGCCAGAAGAGTTATTTGGGTTTGTAAGGCCAGGAGAGAATCTGCTACCTTGTCTATGTCCCAGCTAATGTCCATAGAGAGTTTGTAATAAAAATAGGTGGCTATGCCCAAGCCTCCTGCTCCTAGCCCTATAGCGGTCGCCAGGCTTCCTCCTATGAGCAGAGCTCCAAGTGGGAGAGCTTGCTTTTGGGGCCTTGTGGACAGGGCCATGAAGGTCACAGTGGCAGGGCAAAGAACAGTTAGGGGTGGGGTAAGGAACACTGGCATACAGTGTTGTGTCCAGTTAGCAGGGAGACATCGCATTAAAACAGAGCCATTAAAACAAAGAATATTCAGGGCTTACCACAGATAGGACTTGTATCCTGAAGGCTGGAGGAGTCATTACAGGAGACTTCCACCAACAAAGTGTGGTTAGTAATTACACAGGAGGCATTATTGGGCATAAGGATGATTTTGTCTGTTAAGGGGCCTACTACTAGGGTTGAGTTTTTAGCCCTGGTCAAATCAGAAGTGAGGTTTCGAGTTTCAATCCAAGACCGGGGGACTGGCCAAGCAAAAAAAAAAAAAGGGCGGGGGGGGGTTTGGTCTTAGAGGCAGGCAGATCCAGCAAGGGGTATTATTTACGTCTGCACTTAAAACTTGATAGGTGTCATTTAGACTTGTAATAATCTGGTGGGAGAAGTCCAGAGGCCGAAGGGCTTGTTGGGCTTGTTCTAATAGCTGGTTGGGCCTGTATTCTGGGGTTAACTCTTTGTCCAGAGTTAACAGATTCTGCTTTACCTTTTCTTAAATCTGTTGCCTGACTTGGTCCTGAGCTCCCCCACCATCTGACATGCCATAGTGGGTAAGTCGGGAAAAACAGAACTTTTTACCTGGCTGACTGGACTATGGCTACTCCCCCACTTTGCAGTTGCTGTGAAATAGCCTTTTCCTCGATACTGGCACTCTACAGCATGAGTGTAGCAGGAGGCACAAACATAGGTTGAAACAGTCAAGTACCTGTCACCCCTGTATGGGGTTAATGGGGTCCAGCAGTCACTAGGGCAGGGACTACAGTTAACAGAGTCAATGATGCATACAACAAGGATTAGTAATATTAAGTCTTTTGGATACAGAGCTTCAGTGGGTTTGTGGGATCTTTTGACTGTCTATCTTGATGGAAGGTACTCTTCCTGAAGGGCAAAGAGGTCAGCTGGTCGTACGTGGGTGTAGTGGATCCAGGTTGCAATGCCGTCTACTCTGAGTGCAGTATGGGTCACAAGGACTACTATTTAAGGCCCCTTCCAGCGCGGTTCCAGGCTTTCTCACTGATGTCGCTTGTCAAACACCCAGTCACCCGGCTGGTATTGGTGAGGTTCTGGCGGTGGTCCAGATTCATATAAGGCCTTTAGTCTGGTCCAGATGTCTGAGTCCGATGCAGGGCATGAAGGGAACGGACAAGTGTATTATCATCATTATCTAGGTCATGAATTATTTTGGTTTGCAGGCTAGGTACAATAGGAGGGGGTCTTCCAAACATAATTTCAAAAGGGGTTAAACCTAGTTTATATGGGGTGTTATGTACCCGGAAAAGCGCATAGGGAAGGAGAGCCACCCAGTCCCCGCCAGTCTCCTTAGTCAATTTTGTCAAGGTCTCTTTTTGGGTTCTATTCATTCTTTCTACCTGTCCTGAACTTTGGGGCCTGTATGCACAATGTAATTTTTAATCTGCCCCAAACACTGATGCCAATCCCTGAACTACTTTGGACACAAAAGCTGGTCCATTATCAGACCCTAGCATAGCAGGGAAACTATACCTTGGCAGGAGCTCTTCTAACAACTTCTTAGCTACCATTAGGAAAGCAAAGAGTGGGTAGAAAAAAGTATTCAAGGCAGAGAAAGCAGTGTGGGGCTAAGAAGAGGGATGGAGTTGAGGTTGACCTGTGCGGCTAGAGCAGATCCCAACGCAGAGACGGGGTGGGGTTTGGAGAAGTTGGGTGACAAATCACACAGGACCTATAAAGGATATTAAACCTCATTTTTATAACAAAAGGAAGACACTGAGGTAGATTTTACACCAAGGAGAGACATCCTTGAATTTTGAAGATCCTAATATTTTAGGCTTGAGGAGTTAGAAGCATGGGAGTTCTAGTAACAGGAACTGGCATCACCAGGGAAAAGCAGTGGGAGAGAGGGAAAGAGAGATTTTTGATAAATTAAATTTGAGGACATCATGAAATGAGTGGAGATACTTACCAAGCAACCAGAAATGCTCAATAAACATTCTTTACCCCCATCTTACAGAAAACGGTTCTTAGCTGTTCCACCACTTCTCTGCTTCCTTCTTCAGTGAACCTCATTCGGACAGCTGTACAGACCCTCTCTTTGCTGCCTCACCTCTGTTCTCTTCAGTGCAGCACTCACGACGGTGGCCCTAATAGGCCACCAAAACCCATCTTCTCAGGGCTGTGAACCACAGCGGTATTGCCAAATCTAATGATTAATTCTGAGTCTTGTGCTTTTAATTTTCAGCAACATTTGACCAAGAAGTCACTCTCTTGCAATATTCATACTTCACTGGCCTCTTCCCACACTCTTCACTCTGCCTCTCTTCAGCCTCGGAAGTTGGGAGAATTCTAGGGTTCTTCAATCCTTAGTACTTTCTCTTTTTCACTTGTTTCAATGAAAGCTTACAAACAATACTGGTCTTAAATGCAATCATACATGTTTTATAAATTACTTAAAACTGAGGTAATTGATTATAATGCCTGACCAACCTTGTGTTGTATCCTGCCGTTGCCTTCACCCAGATTATTTTTCACTATTCTCTCCTTCCCTTCTCAGCCTACTGACCATCCAGAATAATTGTGAATAAACTTTTCATTAGCTTTTCATGATATTGGTCTTAATCCTTAGTACTTTAGTACTATCTGAAAACACTCACTTCCAGGCAATCTTATAGTTCTTTAGATTTAAATACATATATATGGGGGCAGGTATGTCAGAGACAGTATGATGGGCTCAGGATAGGGCAGGGTTCAGGGCTGTTGCTCATAGGGTCAGTTATAGTTGACTTGATGGCACATAACAATTTATGATAAATTGTGAACTGAGATAAATCTGAATTATTGTATATAATGTTGACTTAAAAATAAAATTACTTTGCAAATAATTACCTTTTATTTAATGAAAAATAATTATAATCACCTGCAAACTCTTTTTAACAAAAAAAAATCATTTTTATTGTGATTTGAATGACAGTTTAGAAAGCAAATTTGTTTTCCATTCCACTAATCATACACATTTTGATTTATAACAACACACACACACAATGTAACCACATTTTCCAGTTTCCTCCATGTTAGTCTCATTTCCATGAATCCTTCTATCCCATCCTTTCCAGCTTTCTGAGCTTTATCTCTGCGCACATGCTGATCTTTTGAAGCTGTATAGCTGGTTATTCTAAGCAGTGAGCACCTTCCTGGTGTTACTAATCACCTAATAGGCCTACTGTTGGGGTGGATGGTGGTGGGCTTTATTTCAGGTTCAAAGGGTAATTAAGACCACAGTCCTGCAGGTTTTACCACTCTCTATCGGAACAATAAGTCTGGCCAATTTTCTGTTTTTGTAAATTTTCACTCCACATTCCCCCCCCCATTCTATCAAGGACCTTCTAGAACTTTTTTTTAAAAATTATTATTATTTGTGTGTCTGTGTGTGTGTGTTTGTACACCGTCAAATCGGATCTGACTGGCACAGGAGGAGATGGTCCCTCCTTCTCCAGCAGAGCATCTGGTGGATTTGAACCATGTACCTCTGGGATTGCAATGCAGCTTCTTGCCACTAGGTCACCAGGGCTCCCCTCTTCTAGAACTTCTGATCTGAGTTGCGGAGCTGGAGATTCATGAAGTCCGTCAATCCCTTAGAACAACTGTATCTTGCTTTTATGATTTCCTTCATCTTTTTTTCTGGACAGGAAGAGACCAAGAGTTGTACCTTAGATGGCTGTATGCAAGCTTGTAATATCCTAAAGTGCTTAATTTTCAAGTGTGACAATTCTCTGACATTATGAAGTATAACAGCAGGTCTTCTATTAGATTTCTGGGGCACAGTGACCAAGGGGGCAGGCTCACTGCATCAGGATACCTTGAACTTTGGAAGCATCTTGTCATGACACTTGCCAAGGGTTTCTTCTGAAATCTTTGCCTGGCTTCCATATTAAGCGAAGTTTTTCTTTTCCCTCTGTCTATAATTACATTCTAAATTGATTCTGACTTATGGAATACTATTTTTCTCAGCAGATATTCATTATTACTAACTTTTATTACCTGACTCTTTATAAATTATGCAGCAATATAAATGTAGTCCACGTTACCAATGATATGCAAAAAATAAGTAAGTAACACCGATGGTTCTAAATGTGGTTCTTCAAAACTCAAATACACCATACATCAGACTGCCTGTACACTAGAATAAGAGAGTACTAGGTCTTGGTCTAAAGGGCATGCTGAAGCTATCAGGATGCTTTAAAGGTAAATCACCTCCCATGTCCCTCTGTTATATTTCATAATCTGGGAGCAGAAAGAGTGAGGTGCAGCCTGCTGGGTGGTCAAGATGAAGAGCTGACGTCTTGGGTGATGCCAGAGGCCACGTGGAAGCATCTGATATAAGGGGATGAAACTGTCATACAGAGGAATAAAGAAAAGCCCATTTCTGGTTGCACATGAGTCCACTGTGGAACTGGTCAGGCTGTAGATGTCCTCCCTTTATCCTAGATTTGTTTGTGTTTCTTTCACTTGCAAAAAAAACCCAAAAGACATGCCAACAAAACCCAACATCAAAAAGCAAAAAACCATTCAAAACCAGAGTCTTAAACAAAGTGCTGCTAAGACAGAAGGTGAATGTGGCGTCAGGACAGTCAGAGGAGAAGAGCAGCGGGCAGGGGCAGAGCTGCAGTCAGAGAGGCCACAGCTGTGTGAGAAGATTTTATTTGAGTAGCATTCAGATTTTTTTTCTTTTTTTCTATAATTATATTTTATTAATTTTCATAAACATTTACAGAGATTTTGGGCTTCCACTCATTCATTGTT